CGTGGCGGGGCTAGGAGAGCTCCCGGAGCTGGTGCTCGCGTTTATTAACGGGACACGGGACTTTCAACAGTCGGTCCGCTCACAAGCAGCTATGTGTCAAGCCGCTTCCCTCATAAACTTGTGTGTGTTAGCTCTGGATTTCACAAGTTGCCCAAATCTCCACCCAGGCCTTTCTTTAATCAACAAGAAAGAAAATGAACGTAGCAGTTCCTGGCTGCCTTTACCCAGCCTTCAAACCTGGCCACTGCCATGTGCAGAGGTTTTCCCAAAACGGAGGGAATGTAGCACCAGCACAATGCAGCCTAAGCAAACCTCAGGCCAAGACCTGTGGATTTTAAGCTGGCAATCATCTCCCAGGTGTGACAATTTATTTGCTGCAGCATTCCAGGGAGTTGTACAACAGGCTTGTTCTCTCGTCGTGTGACCCTCCTGGGAGAGGGGAAACCAAATGGCCTGGTCTGGGTAGACTGCAGGACCAGGAGCCTAATTAGCACTATAAACCTACACTAAAATGAGCCTAGAACAGTAGTTAGGTTCTGCACATAAATCCAGATAAAATATTGCATTAGTGCAGATACGGCGTTGACTTAATTGTATGCAGAAACAAACATTCAGAACTGGCCACCACTTTTAAAGTGTCATCCTTTCTCTAGCATCTGTCCCTACACTTCTATTTTGGCTGACGGATGCTGCTGACTGAAATACAGGTTTCCCCACAGAGGGGCCCCTGTAGCTTGGCATTCTCAGTGTATTTGGACTGTGTGTACTTAGTTGGAGAAGGGGTCAGGATTTCATACTGAGGTACGGAGTTTTTCAGCATATTTATTAGTTTCTTGTTTTCTTTGGCCTATGGGATATTTGCAAATTTAAATGTTAAATCATTAAGATAAATATATTGTCTTTATTTAAAATATTCAAAATTACCAGCACCCAGATATGAATCACTTTAATTGAAGTATGTTCTTAAAACCGTATGATTTGGTATTTTAGTTAATTTTGCGATACGCACAAAATGTAGTCCAAATAGAAGTATGATATCTGACAGCAGGAGAGAATTTATGATTTGCCAGTTCTTCATACTGTCAGATATTTGACAATCATGCTTTATTCTTTCAGCTTTGACTGTCAACTTGCCATTAGTCGTCGACAGCAATGCAGATCTTAAAATCAGAGTCTTAACATTTTTTCTGTGAATGGATAAGCACGGTAAAATGTAGAGACCTTTTTTTTCTGCAGTTTAATAATAATCACAGCTAATGGCTCAGCAGCGCTGACAGAAGTAAACATTTGTTTTGTCAGTTAACTAAATGGCTATGACTCAGGAGCTACATAGGGTCATATGCTGTAATGCTCGTAATAGACATACAGACACTTGCATTGGGATCAACAGTAATTCAGCATGTCCACAGATTCAAATTTACAGCTGGGATAAATTTATTGCTCCAGTGGGCCTTACCTGAGCTGAGAACCGGGCCTTGCAATCTCAGACTGTGGGTGACTGGTATGGGCAAGCATTTTACAAAATCTGTGAGTTGCAAAAATACCTCCACTATAGGTCTAAAACTATTAAAATACATCCCACAAATTTGAGACTGTGCAGTGACCTGCATAAAATGACAGATACTGAGATTCAAGACTTGCGACTGTATCTTTAGTCATGTGCCTTCTATGTAGACAATGACTGAATAATAAAATCTGCTATTAAGTCTAATACTATTAGACTTTTGATGGTTCTGATAGTTTTATATTTCCAGTGAACTATGCTTCGTTTTTAGCCTCAGAAAATAATAAAGTGCTGTCTTGAATCTACTTATTTACCAGATTCCCTTTTTTCTTATGTTTAAAAAAAAATATGACTTTAGCTGCAAGCAATTAATAAGAGGTCTGATGTAAAAATGTTAAATTATGGATTCTGATTTGCTAAATTAACATGAACTTCAATAGCTTCAATTTTTCCTTGAATATCTATTTTAATCTCTTTATCAGTAAATATTTCTGTTAATATTATTTTGGAATAGTTTAATTTAATACAGGACTATTGTAGAACAATACAAAATTATATTGCTGTACATTATGCATTGCAATGGACAAAAATTTTTTATAAGTTAACTAAATTACTAAATTTAATAAAAATCACAAGTGTGTTCATGATCTGATCTGTATGAACACATGGATTAATTATTACAATACAATGAATCATAGAAAACTGCAAACTTGCATTATGTTTCTGATTTTGAACATGGCTGTTCTCTGTCTGATAAAATCCATCATGTTCTGATATAATGCTATTATGAAATACCATTTAAATAGCTAAAAGAGTCATGCAAAATATGTTTTAAATTAATTCTTGAAAAGTTGAAATTGACCATTTTGTCATGCTCATGCTGCTTTTTTAAAAAAGGCAATTCTGTGCCTTACAGGCACATTTTCATGTTTTGCCTGTTCTAAAGCTGCAGCAGTTTTTATCCATCCATTTTTTACAAGCAGTTACCTTTAAATTACTATTTCAAGAATTTTGTATGTTTTTACTTTTTAACTATTGCCATTTTTAAGGACTCGATGATCTTAAAGGTCTCATCCAACCTAAATGATTCTATGATTGGTTCATTTTGTGAACGGGATGTGTTTTGTGCAGCACAGCTGCAGCACAGCATCTTCTCACTTTTCCAGCAATGCTGAACTGCGTTTTAGAACTAAATACATCATCTGGTACCGATGAGAAGAACTAGGAAAATTCTGCAATTAAAATGCCACCATCCAGGTCTGACTTCTTCAAGAAAACAAACCACATTTGCAGTGTTTTTGAACAAGCGCAATTTCAGTGACATTATTTTGTCACTTTTGCTTCCAGATTATTGAGGTTCTTGAAAACAGTTCCATACATTTCAGACTAAAAAGAGGCCAAGTTTTGGGCCATCACTGCTGAATTGCAAACCAGTAAACATTTTGTTCTCCATTTCTGTCTGGAAAGAGATTAATTTAAAGACTAGTTTTATCCACTTCTCTAATACACTTTAGTGCAATATTTTGAAATTAAATTGAAAAGCAGTGTTTCCTTTCTGACCTGAGAATTTTGTTAGCCCATCTTAACTTGTTAAATTGAGTCTCCCAGCCTGTCCTTTGTAACTATTAGTTTAGTTATTTTGTTTCTGGATTTTAACATTATTTTAAGTCAGGTTCTTCATCAGTTCTTCATCAATTCATAATTTTCAAGTCAACCTTCCCAAAGAACACTAAAGAATTTCATTTTAAATGTGTGATGTCTTAAAATTAATAATCATATTTTATAGATGCTTGCTAAGCCAAACATCTCACAGTTTCTTCTCTAGTCAGGTAGAGACTGTTAAATACTTTCTAGTGCTAATCCAGTTTCAGTGGCTGATGAAAGACTTTGAAACTTATCCTGGATATGTATGTCAAAGCCTAAAATCTTTTGATGTTTTCTTCAGTGGTGAAAAGATATCTCTAAAACAGAACATAACAATTCAGCAAAAGTAAACTCTTCTATAATGTAGTTGATAGGCTTGATCATAGTGGTTGGAGTACACAGACTGACTCTCATGTTACATCTGTGTATTCTTTCTGTTGCATATAGGATAATTCAGGTGTGGTGGAATACTTTTGTAGAGAAACAGGAAAATAGAGAATACAAAGGAGCAAATTGTATGTTTTCCTCTCCTCCGTGGAACTTAAGCAAATCTCCTACTTGAAAAAGAAGTTGGAAGTGGCAATTTTAACAAGAAACTTTCATCTTGTGGCTGTCACTCTTAATATAATGGCTGTAATTTAATTGCAGTACTAAATACTTGAAGCTCAAAGATGTGTTTGACATTCACCATTTAATTTCATGAAGAAAAGAAAGAAGTCTCTAGGATCAATTATTTTTAAAAATACTTTTTTAAATTTAGCCCTGTTTCTATCTGTTTTAAGGCCCAGTGTTGAACAGTGAAAAATAGTAAAGGCAAAACACTGTAAATTATATTTGAAATTCAGACTATTTGCTGATTTTAGGGTTTACAATTGAAGCTGCAGTTGTGTTTTCCAGGACATTCTGTATATCAGGCTGTGAAAAGCCTGTGGACTTCCACAGGCCAGACACTGTCTGCCTGTTGTAACTGTTGGGGTTGCATCCATAAAATTAAAGGCATATAAATCACAGCTCAGCAGTCACTCTTACCTTCAGAGTTATGCCTCATGTACTTCACATGCCATCAACTAAAAGTGTATCAGTTTCACTGTTATTGAAGTAATTTCATGCAGGATCACATAGTTATATATATGTCTGATACTTTATTTAATTCTGTAAGAGAAAACTGTTTAAGTGTTTCCAATGACATCCATAAAGGTGAGTAAATGACACCAAAAATAATTACTTCAGATACCCACTTTGTCTGCATTTATGTAACTCTCATTACTTTTTAAAATTTCTTTACATTGTTTGCATTTTGCTCCCATATTTACTACAACCATTTAATGCCAGTCATATTTCCTCCCCTAAATT